AGGAGTTCTTTCCACCTTTGCCCTGGCCGAGGTTGGGAACACTTCTGCACAAATCAAACTGATTCTTTTCTGAATTGGTCCCAATCAGTTCACTGCTAGGGTTGTTGCTTAGGAGGAAAAGGGCTGGCCACGGCGGCCGCGATAGCCGTGCCCGTGAACTCCACAATTTATAATTCATCACCAGCAACCCGATTGTCATGACATTCCAAAACCAAACGATCTTTTTTTTGCCCGCACCCCCCTTCTCCCCACTTAGTTAATTCCATATTGTTCTGTCCCTAATTCGTTGTTCAGTCCATTTCTGTGCGACCGCCGCAGATGTCCCACGACCGCCTCACGCGAGTTCCAGCGCGGAGGGATCACTCGGGCGGTCGAGACGCTCGGGGGATCCTGGCGTCCAGCGCCGATGGTCCGGGCGAAGCACGATGGGTGTTTCGAGGACAAAATTTGACCTCTGGTCAGAGGTGGTCTTTATTCTTGCTGGTATGTTTTTAACATTTAAGGCGATTACTTGTTTTTTTCGGTTTCTTTGGACCTTTCGACATGTCGCTTTACCTTGCTTTCTTGTTCCTGGTCCTTTTTTGTTGCCGGAGACGAAGATTAAGCTTTAAGAAGAAACAACACAAAAAGGAATTTGAAAGGTCTAAAAGGTCCAAAGAAAGAAGGTATACAGTACATACAATAGGAAGTAAAGGTAACCCAAGATGTTTAATACATCGCGCCTGCAGAGAGAGAGGCGGCTGAGGCGGCCGGGCTTTGCTTTGCAACTCCTGCAAATGTGATTTGCTGGTGTCGCGCTGGCGCCAGCAGTATATGGTGAATGGTGATGGTGGTGATGGTAAACGGAGATGGTTACCCAGGCCCAAGCTCGTGAGGTCTTGGTGTAGAAAACAAAGAGGTGCTGCAGCCACGACTCATGGCCTTTTCCACAGCGCTGGTAAGCTCACAAGTCCCATCACTGGTTTTGAGGCGGCGCCGTTCGCAACAAGTCACCTCATGCCTTACATTGTGTGGCGCACAATTCACAGCAGCGAATTAACCGCACCAGGCCGTGAGCACCTCCGATCAAACACCCGTCCTTAACTGCTGCAGCTTCCGTCCCTTTGCCAGCTTTGACGGGACTGTCCACAGCTGTCTCGAGATCCTCCTGCCAAGGCTCACCCGTGAATAACTCCAAGGCGGTCCAGCTGGTCTTTATCTGGGGCCTGCTGCCTTGAACTTTTACTGTCCCTGTGTGTGTGTGTGTGCACGCGCAAGCGCAAACGGCCTGGCTGGAGTTCGTTGCACCTTTGCCACCATTGAACTGCTGGTAAGAAGCACTGCTCGTTGAAGCATCCTCCCGACTGCAAACCAGCACCGGAACAGAATGTGGAGTTGATCTTCACGCAACCATAGATGTCCAAAGAACGTAGCTGCAAGAATTGCTACACCAGGTTGTGTGATTGGACTTGAAGTTCTAATCTGCTTCGGGTTGCTGATTAGCCTACCACAGCCAGCACCGGTTGACCAAAAAGTAATACAGTATTCCTCATTCAGCCCCCCCAATTCGACATGGCCTATTCTAGTCTTTGGTCTTTTACTTTATCTCCCGAACGTCCTGGAGGAACTCATCTGCGTTGACACGTTTGCCACCTTTGAAGCCTTTGCCACCTTTGAACATGCTGTGGAAAGCGTTGTCGTGGCCATCCTGCCAACGCAACAAGAAGTGGCCGACCGGTGCACATGCTTCAATGACTGCTGAGGTCTTTTTCTCAATCAGACTCGCCTGCGGGTTGTCTTCTGGAAACTGCGGAGTGTCCCCTTTGCCAACTGGCAAGGGACCCTTGCCACCTTTGAAAAGGCCAAAGGAGCTGTCTGCGGCTTCCTGTTTGCAAAGAGCTAAACAGAAAGCATGTGATGCATGAAACAAGCTCAATGAACCCTAGAGGTCAGCACAAGCCAGTCATTCGTGTTTACTACTTTTTTCGGCGTATGTATGTCTATGTGTATATATATATATGTTTATCCTTTACCCTATTATCCTATATTATTTGGTGCAAGTGCACACGGCCTGGCTGGAGCTCGTTGCACCTTTGCCACCATTGAACTGCTGGTAGGAGGCACTGTTGGTTGAAGCGTCCTCCCAGCTCAACCAGCTGCGGAACAGCATGCGGAGTTGATCTTCAAGCAGTCATAGATTCTAGCGAACGAAGAATTGCTACAAAAGGTTGTGTGATGGGACTTGGTCTTCTATTCTGCTTCTGAGTTGTTGATTGGCCTACCATTGCCATCGCCAATTCCAGACTGTCTAGTCTTGGGTCTTTTACTTTATCTCCCGAACGTCCTGGAGGAACTCATCTGCGTCAACACCTTTGCCACCTTTGAAGCCTTTGCCACCTTTAAACACGCTGTGGAAAGCGTTGTCGGGGACATCCTGCCAACACAAGAAGTGGTGGCCGACCGGTGCACTTGTGCTTCCATGACTGCTGGCGTCTTTTCTCAATCAGGCTCGCCTGCGAGTTGTCTTTTAGAAACTGCTGCGTGTCCCCTTTGCCAACGGGCAAGGGACCCTTGCCACCTTTGAAGAGGCCGCCGTCTGCGGCTTCCTGTTTGCAAAGAGCTAAACATGTATGAAACAGAATCAATGAGCCCCACAGCTCAAAGAAAGGCAGCCCTTTGTGCTTGCTACATGACGCTACATGTTTACTGTGCCCATATCCATGTGTGCAAGTGCACA